GTGGCGTGTCTCAATTGGTCCGTAGAGGACGTATCTGTGATTGACACGTGGCAGGCTCCTATTGGCCTACGTGAAGGACACGTGGCAGAACCTGGTTGGTCCACTTGTCAGACGGTGATTGGTGGATAAAAATCCCCTAATCACTAGGGTTTGTTATTAATATTGTTAGTATCATGCCTAGGATCTTGCTTTTATTATGCTTTAACATGATTTATGATTATTTTTATAATTGTTTTGATTATGATTATAATTTTATTGTCATGATTATTATTATAATTATTATTAATATGATGATTATTTTAATTATAATTTATTATAATAATTTTTCATTATTATTTATTATGTTGCTTGATATTTATTATTTATTGCTTGATCACACCTTTTTTGCATGTTTAAAGGGAATTTGATACTTTTAATCACGCTTAATAAGATAATTAATAATCTTGTTTAAGGTTAATGTGATTATGATTTCAAGTGATCGCCAATAATAGTTTTATTTGTGCATTAAAAAAGAGAAGGCAGTTACTTGAAGAGGTAGCGTTGAAGTTGAAAAAGCCGACTGGGTCAGGCGGTAAACAGCAAGCGACAGACGGAAAGGTTGTTCTCAAAGAAAAGTCGAAATTCTCTCATATTCTCTCAAGAACTTTTTCGTAAATGAGCGAAAATGAGAGAGGCAAAGTTTCTATTTAAAGAGGGGTAACTTCAAGGGCATCCTGGTAAATTCCCTAAAAGGTATCAGTAATTACTGTTCTACCGCTGCATGAGTGACACGTGTCACGGATGCCACTTGGCTTGCCATGTCACATATGTGAGGGGCAAATGTTTTAGGTAAAATTACCCCGCCACGTGGCCCAATAGGAATGGGACACGTGTCCATCCTATATTGGCCTAAATCGGGCCACTTACGAAGTGACACGTGGAATCCACTATCATCAAGAGGACTAATGGTTTTTAAAGGCCCAATTCCCAAAAAGCCGTCAAAAGGACGGGCAGCCCACCTAATCTAGGTTAAATAACCTAGACAAGGGCACCTTTATCCAGAATGACCCTATAAATAGGGAGATTTCCCCCATTTGTGGGACAAATTGAATTTATTACACAATTAATGACATTCTCTTACATCAGAGAAATCTCCATTCTGAGAATCCGAGAAAGATCTCACCTTTATTTCCGCACTTTTTACTCTCTCCTACACGTTCTAACTTGATCGTCGGAGGCGGAGCTCCAACCACCCGGATTCTCCTACACCTAGATTAGCTCTCCCGAGGGACAAAAACACCCAATACAGATGGCGTTATCATACATCGTAAAATTTTAAAGCGTTACGAGACTGCGTAAAAATGTATTGCATAGGTGTTGCGTAAAATTTCACCTCTTTCCATCTTAACAAGATCTACCTCTTGTAACTAAAGGGTGGAATTACTTTAATTTACTTTAGGTGTTAGCTCACGAGTCGACAGGCGCGCCGAACCATTCGAGAACATACACTTCTTGATTTGAAGCAAATACGGTAGTTAGTGAGCTTACTGGCTTACCGGACAGTTAGGGTGTCGTCTACCCCTGTATAAAGAGCGGCGTACGATGTCGCATCTATGTAAGCACGTGCCCCTAGTCCTGAGACACGTGTACTCATCTTGTGGACAAAACTGCTGAGAGAGTTGCCGATTTTCTTCTCTCTCACTTGATTTGGATATATGACTCTAGTCCCGAGACATGTATTTTTATCTTGTGGACACCGAGTATTGAGTTTTGACAAGAGAATTGTCGAGAACTTTATTAAGTCTGCCAAAGCCGAAACATTTAGGCTACGAAATCCAAAACACTCTTTTATCATCTTTTCAAATTTGTTAAAATTAGACTAAAGTTTTAATGATATATCGAAGGACTTTAGACCAACGGTGATATGATTGGGAGGACATCACCCCCTTTTAATCCTTTTTAAACCTATTTCTTCTCATGACATGACATCACCCAAAACACTTTTACTTGTAAAGCGTTCTACGATTGCAAAAGATTAATCTAGATTCTTTAGCGCTTTAAGACTAGAAAGTACTCTTTTCTGGCCTTAACAACTATTTGTCCCAAGCATTTAGTGAACCAAGGACTGTTTCGACATCCTTAAACATTTCTGAAATATTCTGTATTCTTTGAGAACTAACCAGAAAAAGTCTCGGATTTATTTCCTTAGCTACTTTGATCAATGTTTATCTTACACTTGATCAAAGTGGGGGCTAACTGTAGATATCTACTTTTGGCCTCCTGTCCCGACAAGAACTGCAACGACGATAAATAAAACCATCTTCGTGTTCGATTAAAGCGAAGAAAACTTGTGGATTACTGATTGAATTACAAGTACATAAAAATAAGCTAGCCTAACCAAAAAGCAAAAGCATTAAGGTCCAATCAACTAAGCCCAATCATAATTAGGCTTAAACCCGAGTTTAAACCCTAATAATGACAGATTTAGAGGTGCCTTGGTTAAAATTGATGCTGCCGCAGATAAATCCGTTCGCATCTCAAAGAGTTGCGTTGGTCTGGCGCGTGCAACTCATAAGGTTGCGTGAAACCTCTAGTGATGCGCTTGCGGAAGATTCAGAATTTTATAAAAATATGAAATCGAATCTTACCATAATACTACGCGCAAGACAATCTATAGCAGCGCAACTAAATCACTTGCGCTGGTCAGTCACGCGCAACCCTTTCAGATGCGCGCGACACCTGGTGCGGCAAAATACTCAAAACCCAAATCATATCCCTTCCCTATAAATAGGGGCTTGATAAAAGGCTCAAACACACTGAAATTAACCTAAAACGCTAGCAGAAATCTTGTGAACTTGTGTTCAACCAAACTCTCTTGTCCTAAACACTCACCCCTTTTAATCTTTGTTACTACAGTGGAGATTCCCGATTAAGAAGGAGTGCATAAGTGTTCTAAGTGAAGATATAGCAAAGAGAAGTGGTAAAGTCCCGAGCACTTAGATCAATCACCTTTAGTTTTATTGTTTAAAATAACTTTAATCAATTAATTAGTGTTGTTTGATAACCTTAAACAGATTTCTAATTAATCAATTTCACATAGTATCTTTCGTTAAATAAGAATAAAATTGAATAATTTATTGTTGAGTGATCACTTAAGCCAAGACGAATCTTGTTTTTTTTGTTTTTCTCACGAACTTGAATTAAATAAAGAATAACGACTTTGCAATATAATTCCAACGTGAACAATGTGTATAAATAAAATCAACCAACTTAGTTTATGTATCACGTTGCATATATTGTTTGGTAATGAAATGGTGAAAAAGGAAGAGCTAGTAGAGGCCGTAACTAGGGATAGAATAGTGATTCCTCCCTTGAAGGAACGTTATTATAGTACCCTCCCTCCCGAAATCATGTCTTGTTTATTATGTAGACCAATTTGGACATGGGTAAATTTACGATTCGTGTTAATTATCCCTTGAACTCTACTTGGGAGAAAGGCATGAACGAGGTTTATGAGTTTTTCTAAAACTCATTGGCGACTCCTACTTTTTTCTTACAAAAAAGCGTGATGAGAGTATCATTTCTAATTCAAGGTTTCCCAAACAGTCAGGAATTCAATTCCTAATACACCCTAAAAAGTGTAAAGTCCTACGCTTTTAAAGGACCATGGGCATGTAAGGAGAAGGATCCCCTACGATTGAAACACCCTCTTTACACATATAATAGTTAAAAAGATGGTCAAAAGATGTGTGAATAGTGTAAAAAGTCAAACCCTTGCGAATAATTTGGAACAGATGGAGTATAACACCTAAAAATAATAATTAAAAAAAAAAAAAACAGAGGGAGTTAACACGGCCAAACTAAATATTTTTGTAATACTCGGCAATGTCACCTATTACTTCAATTCATTTTTTTAAATTGTACAAATTTGTTTAGGTTTTATTTTTCCAAATAATTTAAATTCTTTTTAAAATGAGTAATTATGTTTCTCATACATCTCATTGCATCAATCTTGTACTCATTTAGCATATTTGCATGTAGCAACTAACAAGAAGAGAAAAAAGGACTGAAATAAATTCACGGCGACGTGTATGCATCTAAGTGTCTAACGTTGGCTATAAAAATAGATAGGAATCATAATTTTTTTCATGTAACGCATTCACTAAAAGCAAAAAGACTTGCGTGGACCTGGTCCACAATAATATTATTGTGGACCCGAGGATTATACACAGGCAACTGACATTATATTGAACATATTGACCCTTATTTTGAACATAGTAACCTTATTTTCAACATAGTAACCTTTATTAAAACTTGTATAGAGTTTAATGTTATTGTGAATTTAAAATACGACGTTATGAGTCTTATGACCCTAATATTAACATAGGGGCCTTTATTATTCACATTGACAAGTATAGAAAATATTTTATCAAAAAGATTAACCTCTTATAGCCTATATATTACCAAAATGAATTTTATTTCAACATAGTGACATTTTTTATTATTATGGAAACTTTTTTTATATTAATAAAACAACCATAGTTTCTCTAATGTTAGTGGTCCACAATAAATTAGTGTAAACCAGGTCCATTTAAGAATTTGTACACTAAAAGTTGCTAATATGTTCAGGTCTAAAAAAAAATTTGCTAATATGTTGACTTAATAATTATGATAATTCAAAATTTCCAAATATAATTACAACAGTTACAACTAAGAGGTATGTTTCACAACGGCAACCTCGTGATTAATTCTTTCCTTTTATATCCAAATGCTTTTATTTCACATCACATTACTCACCCACTATAATACTTCTCTCTTAAGATTTTTTTATCACATTTTATTGTCTTTCTTCTTCTTTTTCCTTTGAGTGCTTAATTAGTAATCACTATTATTCTTCTTCTTCTTCTTGCTCTTTTTTTTAAAAAAAAATAATAAAAATAAATTAAAATTAGTAATGGGATTCCATAAATTTATGTTCTTGATTTTTGTGTTGTTAATGATATGGATTAATTCATCCCAAGGGTACAAATTTTCTGTTTGGTGGAAAAGATGGATGGGTGCTAAATCCATGTAAAAGTTATAATCATTGGGCTGAAAGAAATAGGTTTCAAGTGAACGATACCTTATGTAAGCCTTATGTTAACATTTTTTGTTTTTGTTTATTTATTTTTATGTATGTAATTAAGGGTGACATGGGAGTATCTCATTATACACGTTAATACATAATGTTTCCAATAATTTGGAAATTGGAATGAAGGTTTATAATTCATACTGTATATCGAAAAATCATATGATTTATTTGGTATGAATTTGCATTTAAGAGTGTCCATGCATTTCCATATATAGTATAATTAAGTTGTGAAAATTTAGTGATACAATTTGAATTATTAGGAATTTAAATTGTATGCAATGTATTTAGCCAAACTAAGCTGTAAAATTTTAGTTAGGGTATAGATGAATAGAAACAATTTTGCATGATTATGTATAAGATGTTGGTTGGAAAATTTAACTGTTTTTGATGATTTTGATTCATTGCATATCTTGTTATCATGTACTACGTATGTCTTTTGTTTTATAAAAAAATTCAACATGTATGTATTGATTAACATAGGGTAAAAAAAATCTTAGAGCTTCAGGTGGTTAAGTTTAATTTGTTAACATATTATGAAAATGAAGCTTGTTAGGCAATAATATTATTTTTTTAAAAAGTAGTGGGCTAGTATAGATATTTTATTTTTATTTTTATTTATTTATTTATTTATTTTTTATTTTTTACTACGGGTTAGTATAGGTTATACAAAATTAGGGGACGTGAGGGAGGAACAATAATAAATAAAAAGTACGGGTGGTGGGAATCATGTAGGAGAGAGATATAAAATACTACCTCTGCTTCGCATTACTTGTAACAAAGGGGTATTATTTGTCAGATATAAAATATTCGTTTGTTGCGAGTATTATGAAGTAGAGGTAGTAGTATATTTCTATTTAATGTACTGTTGCATTTTGTTTTTGTTTTTTTAAAGGTGTTGCACTAACAATAAAAAACAAATAGAATACATGGAAATACAAACTTTTAAAAAAATCGGGTGTACAATAATTATTGTACATCCATTATAAAGATAACCTAAAGTGATTAAAAGTTACCCCTGAAATGAATAAAAGTTACCCCAATATGGGTTAAAGTAACCCAATTCAAATAAAAATTATCTACGTTTTATTAGTAAAGAATCACATTTTAAATGACTAAAAATCAATTATTAGTGATTGAATATAATTTAATTACCTTATAAAACTTTTCTTGTTATTGATTTATATAAAAATGGTACTTATGTTTAAAATTACCCAAAAAAAAGACAAAAAGTTACCTTAAAATTAGCTAAAAGTTACCGTTATACTGCTCGATGTACACTAATATTAGTGTAAACCGGATGTATGCAATAGTTTTTGGTATATATTTATGTGGAAACTATTATAATTTTCTTTCCAAAAACAAATATAAAAAAATTTACAATTTAAATTAAATTACATTTTAATTTTTACTATTACATTACTTTAAATTTATTACCTTAAAACAGAAGTTTTTCACATTAGATCTAGGAAAATAAATTCAATAATTTTTACTTTTCAAATGTATTACTTTCTAGCATATTCAAGAAAGTCATACAAGATTAAAGACAATATGATTGTTTTATTAATAATAAAAAAAGTCACTATATTAAAACAATGGTTATTATATTGAAATAAAAATTAGTGTGACATTATAAAAGCTATAAGAGGTAAATTTTTTTTAATGAAATTTTTAATATAAGGATTAATATGAATAATAAAGATCACTATGTTAAAACTAGGTCACTATTCAATATAGTGTCATACTTTACGTTCATAATAACATTAAAAATAAGGTTACCATATTAAAATTAGGGGTCACTATTTTGAATATAATGTCAGTTACGTGTGTATAAACCTTAGGTCTAAAATAATATTATTGTGGACCAGGTCCACGCAAGATTTTTTGATATTTAAAATGATATTTTTATATAAAATAGGAAATTTTGATAATTACCACCATCTATTGTTGTCAAAATTTAAAATACCACCTCAATTTTTTTTTTTTTATTTTTATTTTTCGAATTTTACCACCTAGTTTTTTCCAAAAGTTTTTAAAAGGTTTTTTTGTAAATTACCACCCTAAAATTTAATATGTGTTGAGATAACCACCCATTTTTGTTGAAATTAAAAAGAATCGCCCATATTTTACAAAACTGTAGGTTTTACCACCCTTACCTATACTCCGGTCAGTTTTCCGAGCATGTGCCCCACAATTTCATTATGAAGGACCCTAATTTTCAATTCAAGTTAAATTGAATGAATCAAACAACGATTACATTATTAAATTCCTAATAAAACACAAACCAAACAAAAAATAACGTATAACTTGAATTCTACTTCATTAAAGCATTGCAAAATAACTAAAAAAAATAAAAATTAAGTGCGATCTTCAATTACCTTGTTGTACAAATTGGTGTAAAAAAAATTTAAGTACGTTATTTAAAGGATTCGCTCGTCAATTTGCAAAACTTGGAGTAAAAATTGTTAGAATTTGTGAAAAAATGTAGAATTTTAAGTTTGGTAGTAGTTTGTGAAACAAGGGACGAAATAAATCGAGAACAACTTTTATAAAAATAAAAAAAGCCGATATGTGGGGCCAATGCTCGAAAAACAGGTCCGAGTATAGGTCGGGTGGTAAAACCTACATTTTTTGTATAATATGGGTGGTTATTTTTAATTTTTAAAAAAAATGGGTGGTTATTTCAATACATGGTACATTCTGGGGTGGTAATTTAAAAAAAATCCCCTGTTCTTCTTCTCCCCTCTTTCAATTTCATCTTTGAAATTTGATGCCATTTACAAAAATTTGCGCAAATTAGGTTATAATTAATACAATCTAACCTAAAACGAAGTGAATTGATTAGATTAATTAGGGTTGGGGTAATTACTTTGGGGGTTTTGCTAAATTGGACAAATTAGGGTTTATGAAGTTAAAATTGAATGAATAATTGGACAATTAAACAAGTAATTATCACGAAAACACAATTAAACATGCATTTGGGGCGAAAACACTAACATTGTAGTAGTGATTAATCATTTCGATGATCATGTTCATATGCAGCAAAAAAAAAAAATTAAAAAAAAAAAACAATTACAGCCCAATGAAAAGGAGAGAGAGTGAAAAATTATTATTGAATGTTAGGGTTTGACAATAAATTTGGGTGGGTGTTGAAAAGGATAGAGATGAAATTGAAAGAGTGAACTTGAGGAACAGGGGAAATCGAGGGAAGATAGAGGGAAAGAGAGGGAAAACGAATTACGTCATCTCACAAAGTGATGGGATTTTAAAAAATTTTGGAAAAAAATAGGTAGTAAAATTCAAAAAAAAAAAAAAAAACCTTCAGGTAGTATTTTCAGTTTTGGCAACAATAGATGGTGGTAATTATCAATATTTCCTACAAAATATATCCTAGGAGGTAATATTTTGTATGGTATATTCTGTATAAACATTTAATAGTTTATTATTACTAATTAATTTTGATTGCAGTTTTCAAGTTGAAGAGCGAAAATGACTCAGTTCTTGTAGTTACAAGAGATAACTACAACCAATGCAACGTGAAAAAGCCAATATAAACCTTAACTGAAGGGAAATAAGAGTATATTTTTGGAAGATCAGGGCCACAATACTTCATTAGTAGCAGTGAAGATCATTGTATGAAAGGGCAAAAACTTGTCATTGTGGTCCTTGCTGTTAGGCCTAAGAAGCCTAGTCCTGCACCAGCTTCAGCTCCAACAATCTCGCCCCCTTCCGTTTCCCCTGCGCCATCAGGTTCGACCCCAGCTCTGTCTTCAAAAGCCCCTTCGCCGAGCCCGTCGGATGCTGATGCTCCTTCTAACGGTCCCAACAAATCGTTTGATGTGGGTTTCACTGCTTTCAGAATCAATTGGCTACTTAGTTTTGCTGTTGGAGTTGGTGTGTTTATGTTTTGTTTTGGATGGGTGGTTTAGTTATTTGCTTTGGTTAAACTAAGAAGACCTCTTAATACTATTATTTGTGGAGTAATAAATTGAAATGGTTTTTTATCAAATACTTAATTGAGTTCTATGTAACTCGGATGCTTCATTTCACCTCACGTATCTGTGTCGGACCCAGTGATGTATTCAGGTATTCCAAACTGTGGGTTTGGAATCTTAAAAAAAACGATGATCATATATCAATTAAATATTCAATACATTAGTTCAAAATTTCCATTACAAATGCATGGATTACGCAATTTTTTTTTTTAAAAAAAAACTACAAAAGCATTCTTCGAGTTTTCATACTTTAAAAGCGTGCTGATACATTACTACTTCTACAAATCTATAATTCTATTGCAAAAAATTAATATTACACATAAAACAAATATCCCAAGTTCCCAATAAATACAAATTTGACAATGTAAACTTCTTCTAATTATCAATTAAAAGACCAAGTAAAAATTTAAAATTCTAAGTTTCTACAATTCAATTTGTCAAACAATTCAAGCATTCAACATTATATCAAGACCAATTAAACAATTTATTAATTAATCTAATTTTCACTAATTTAAAAAAAATTAAACAAACAAATAAAGATTTAAGAATTAAGAGGAGTAGAGGAATTAGAGGACTCAAAAACTTACGAAGAACGGAATAACTCGAAAAAAAAATGACAATGTAAACTTCTTCTAATTATCACTTAAAAGACCAAGTAAAAATTTAAAAAAATTCTAAGTTTCTACAATTCAATTTGTCAAACAATTCAAATATTCAACATTATATCAAAACCAATTAAACAATTCAGTAATTAATCTAATTATCAATAATTCTAAAAAAATAAACAAATAAAGATTTAAGAATTAAGAGCAGTAGAGGAATTAGAGGACTCACAAACTAACTAAGAACGGAAGAACTCGAAGAAAAAAACAAAAAGAACTCGAAAAAACAAAAAATGAGGGCAGCTGGAATCAAACCCAAGACCTAAGAGTAGCCTTGCTCCTCTAACAATCGCTCCCTTATCAACACGCCAAACTTACACAACTGATTATTTACCTCACAAAATTTTTTTTTAACCCTTAATTTTTCCTTTTTTTTGAAAAAAATTAAAACTTATATTTCTTTTTCAAAAAAATCCGTGGGCTCAATGAACCCTTTGAACCCCCCTAGATCCGCCCCTGGTTGGACCTTCGAGACTCGCACAGAGGTATGACACCCAAACACTTCACTTTTAGTTCAAAATCATAGAATATTTTCACAAAATATCCAAGTTAGACGCATGGACACGTACCCATGTCGGACATGAAGTAACACAGATTGAGTTATATATATATATATATATATATATATATATATATATATATATATATATATATATATATATATATATATATACCTTTTCCTCTATTTTTTAATTGCAACATTTTTCTTTAATAAAAAAAAATAAAAAATTGCACCATTTTTCTTATTTGAAATTTGCTTATTAATAACACAATTAATTTATTTGGTACATTCAGTATTCAGATATTCACACATAAAATATGCAAAGAAACCCATGTTCACGTGTGTTAGTAACCATTATTACCCTACATTTTCCCAATCCCTGTCATTTTTTTGTATCTCATTGGTAGGGGTGAGAATAATAGGATACCTTGTTAAATTTTATGGAACCAGATGCGACTTCTGTTGCAACAGGTCCCTCAAAATAAGAACTGAAATTGGAACATGTTGAACAAGTTCCTAAAAAAAGAAACCGAAACCAGATTTTGCAGTACCCGGTTTCGATTCAGGGTACTTACCTTTTGTAAAAAAAAAAAAAAAAAAAAAAAAAAAAAAAAAAAAAAAAAAAAAAAAAAAAAAAATTGGAGGGTCATAAATTTACAATTTGCAAATACAACAATCCAAAAATAGTTGTTTACCAAATTTAATACATATAGTTATCATATCTATTTTTATTTACATTTAGTTTAAAATTGGGCTTTAATTGATATAGCATTTGAGATTAAGTAATACTTTTATTACGATACAAGGTACCCTACAGGTTTCAGATCCAAAAAATCTAAATCCTGAATTAGAACCTGTTGCAACATGTTCTCTATTTTATTACCTAGAATCGAAACCGCTTTTACATATTGCGGTTCCTATTAGATTCAGGTTCTGATTCCAATTTAGGGCACCCTAAATTTTTTGATGCAAATCCCAACTCATTGATAAATTTGACAATCCTCACCTCTTTCTCTGTTTTTCTTAAATTTTTTGAACATAATTAGGTGACGATTGAAAAAAAAAGATGGAATTATAATTTAATAATATTCATAGTTTTTATTTTATAACATAACATTTAAGGTCTATACTTCAATTTTGCTATGTGGTGTTATTTTCATGTATCTTTATTAATATAGCTAGCTTTTAGGCTTGGGAGTTGCCCCTAAATATATTTTCATTTATTTACAGTTTACTTTAAAAAGAATTGTTTCGGGTTTTTTTTGAAATCCCTCATGATACTGGTCGCGCTCTCAGGAGGAACAGACTCAGACACCTGCAAATTAACGAATATCCCGTTTACCAGATTGTTCGCCTCTAACAATCAAGTTAGTTACTGGAAACGGGATAACTAGAGAGAGAAAGTAGAGAGAAGTTGGAGCTCTTTATGCTCTTTTTGATGTTATGTCCCAATCCACCCCTACCATCATACATGATTTGGGTATTTATAGGGGTGGAAAATTGTGCCCCTTTAGGGTTAGTGACCTAGGAAATACGATCTTGGGCCTCCTGATGTAAGGAGGCGTTCACTCTCTTCTTCAAGTGCTCTTTTGCTTGACAAGTGTCATCTTCACATAGGGACACGTGTTGTCTCTTATTTTAAGCCACTTGTCTCTATGGGAATGGACCACATAATAGGGGTTTTTTTACCTTAAAAATTTTCCCCTCGACGGGGTGACTTGTTCTTTACGGCTGCCTCCTCTGATATTACTCGTCCAGGTACGTTCGAGAAATTAGGCGTTTTGAGCATTTGAAGGTGTTGTAGAGGTCGGACAGGGTCGTCCGTCCACCTTATTGGGCTGGATGCCTTGTACGATTCACCTGACATCTTTATGGGGTGGGCCGAATGGCCTTTTGACGAGCAACCAACTGTTCTCCATTATTTTTAGAAAATGGTTCAAACTTTGAAGGCAAGTGTTAAATTTGACAAATAGTTATGATATCCGTTCGAATTCCGTCTTAAATGACGTGACACCCCTTCAATATTCCGTCTTGAATGACGGGGCGGTTTTTTAACTGTTTGACTTCTAGGTTAAACTTTTTAAAAGTTAACCGTTTGGTATTCTTTAGGCGGGAACAACAATTTTACCGTTCTGCTCTCATGAATTTTGCCTATAAATAGCAAGAATTTTACCTCATTTCCTTACTTTGGATTTTTAACTTTCTAGAGAGAAGTGAGCTTCTAGAGAGAGAAAGTTACTTTTCTTGTAGATCTTCAAGAGCTAAGCCACCGTACATAGTGGCGAATCTAAGATTTTACGGGTGTTGGGTCACCGTCTCCCATCGACCGCATACAAATCAATAATTATTACATTAATATTTTAAAAGCTAATTAAAAAAAGTCAGTACAAAAATATTAAATATTTTGTGGGAGAGGAGGAGGATTTGTGTTGGACAATGACAAATAACCAATGAAATTACCAAAAGATTTCAAACGATGAGCTGTAACAAGTTACCAAGTGAGAACTAAGAAGGTAGGATTTGAGGGATGAAGTTAATAAAAAATAATAAATTCAAGAAGTTGCTTAGTAAGAATTAAGAAGGAAAAAAGAGAAGGAAAAAAAAAAACCAAAAAAAGCTAATAAAGGTAGGATTTGAGCCTTTGTGGGGTGAAGCTAATTAATTAATAAAATAAATAAATAACATATTTTTTTAAAAAAAGAAAATGCTGCCCGTGGGTATTGAACCCATGTTCATTGCCTAGAATTTTTATGCCTTAACCACTAGACTAGTGAGCAACATATGACTAATTACTACAATGCTTATTATTTTAACCTTTTTTGTTGGGTCACGTGACCCACCATGCAAAGGGTGGGTCCGCCACTGGCCGTACGTTCGAGTTTTCCGGTTAACATATATCCAAGAACTTCAAAGTCTTGAAGCTTCCTACTCGGACGAAGGTAACCGAATACTTTCTTTTTCTTTGTTGATTTTTATATACTTGTTTAATTGTTTTGAACACCCTGGCTCAACACTCGGCCTCGTCTATTTCTCCTCATGAGGTCGTCTGTTCACTTGTGAATGAGGACTCTAGAGTGGGTGGGGACGAGTCCTCGTCTTTAAGATACGAGTTAAGTCCTCTTCGAACCTCAAGTTTGGTGGCCACCTCAGATGACCCGAAATTCATTCGTCGAGGCTTCAATGTTTATGAAGCTGCTATGGAGGTCGGCCTCCGCTTTTCTCTTCATCCATTCGTCTAGGAGATACTAGATGAATATGAGATTGCCTTGATCCAGTTGACACCGAACAGCTAGACCAATATTTTTGGGTACTAGGTGACTTGCCTTAGGATGAGCTTCACCCCTAAATTTCCAGTCTTCTGCACCATGCACAACATGGTGAAGGTGAATTTTGATGCGGACGGGTGGTTCATTTTGAACAATCGGCTGGAGTACATGGTGGTTCTTCACAAGCCGTCTAAATGGAGTGCTTGGAAGCACAGATTCTACCTTGTCCAGACTAGGGACCGAGAGTTTAACAGAAAAATGAACAACTTCAACTCTTTCCCGGTTCAGCTTGGACAAGGGGGATCGATCACCGTCCGACCTGTCCTCCCATCCATCCGGGTCAAGAGAGAGTTTTGGGGGGGACGCTGAGTGCCCATTATTCCCAAGTGGATTCCCCTAGTAATTGACAAGCTAAAGTCGTAATCACCCAATCAAAAATTATTCATAAATCTTCTAACAAATGCAGATAGGGAAGTAGGGTCAAATCCACAGGGAAGCTGGTCT